TTATTATTACTAGGTCTACTATTCTTTTAAAATCAATTATTATATATTGAAAATAAGTATCTGAATTAGAAATTATTTCATCAAACGTATCTTATATGGATGTTCTGAATTCTGACTCGAATGTTGTGCGTCTCAAAGGTTGAGAAATCGAGTTCCAAATTGACGGAGCAAGGAGGGGAAAGATCTTTCACCAAATGTTTTTACGTGAAAATCCGTTCACTTTCTGCTAATTTTGCAATGCAAAGGATCTGAATACAAAGAAAAAACATGATAAGTGTAAAAAAAGGAAAGACAAAATTTGGAACAGAAAATGTATTCACTTTTTGCCTCTATTACCTATTGAATGCTAGACTTGTCCTGTCTTGTCTTGTCCTGTCGTGTCTTGTCTTACCTTTCCATATCTTACCTTACCTTATCTTATTTACTTTACTTACCTTATCTTACCTTACTTTACTTACCATATCTCACCTCACCTCACCTTACCTTACCTTACCTTACCTTACATACCTTACTTTACCTTACCTCACCTTACCTTACTTTACCTTACATACCTTAGCTTACCTAACCTTACCTTACCTTACCATACCTTACCTTACCTTATCTTACCTTACCTCACCTCACCTTACCTTACCTTACCTTACCTTACCGTACCTTACCTTACCTTACCTTACCTTACCTTACTTACCATACCTTACCTTACCTTACCTTACTTACAATATTTCACCTTATAGCAACTCACCTCACCTTACCTTACCTTACCTTACCTTACCTTCCTTATCTTACCTTACCTTACCTTACATAGCTTACCTTACCTTACCTTACATATCTTAGCTTACCTTATTTTACCTTTCCTTACCTTACCTTACCTTACCTTATCTTACCTTACCTTCACTGTGTCCAGTCTACTCCAGCGGTGGTGAGAACATGACGTTTGAGATGTACCTGCACAACGTGACCTACAACCGGACCACCATGTCCAGAAACTCAGCCATTTACCGCAGTGTGGAGACAGCGGTGGGTACTGGTTCAAAGCCTCGGGGAGAAAAGGGCAGGGAGGGCTGTCTAGTTGAATCATTCAACTAAAGTTATGGGAGGGCTGGCTATTTGAATCATTCAACTAAAGTTATGGAAGGGCTAGCTAATGGTGTCATGTAAACTAAAGTTATGGAAGGGCTAGCTAATAGTGTCATGTCAACTAAAGTTATAATAAAAATGCTACTTTCTGTCTTGACGCATTTCTTTCACATATGAGAAAGTGATGTCTTTGTGATTGTAGATCTTTTGTTTTCCATGGGCCTGGCTTAGATCATTTGGGAGGCGGGCGGTTTTTACACTGCTTGTCAGAAGCTGTCAGGGCAGAGAGGTAGGATGACAAAATGAGTTACTTCTCGGATTTTAACCTGATGGGAATTACTACTTCAACTTTATAAGTGGAGTTTGTACAATTTGTAAGTGTGAAGTGATAAAACACACAATATACTTGAAAAAAATGACATCAATTGAAACTCTATGAATGTGACCCCAGTGTCGATTTTGGGCCGATATCTCCATTCTTGGATTGTGAGAAGTATTCATTTTGTCAGCACTGCTCCCATTTTTATGTCTTCATTCTGCTTGATTGTTCTATGTCATGTTTCTCTTTACTCATTCAGATATTTCCACTTCTGTTTCCTCTACCTGAAGCTTGACTGATTCAGGCCCGAGATAATTCTTGACTCCAGAAGCAAATAATTTGTGATCGCTTAGTGACGTCAAGGGTGTTTGCACAAAAAGTTTAAAAAAAGAAATATCTAAATTTGAGAAAAACCTTTCTGTGGCATATAGATGTTCAGAATAAAAAATGCCATTCAAAGGCACCAGAATAAACGGTTGAAATATAATTGGTAAGGGAAAAAGAAGAGGGGAAAGTGATGTGAAGAAAGGGAGCAATATACAAGAGCCACTCTGGGGGGCTCTACGTCAAAATACACGAGACAGTCAGTCGCTGTGAGCAGGGCCTCGGGCTGAATCAGTTAAAAGGGCAAGCAATAGCACGGATTCTATGAAATATTCACATTTGTGTTTTGGACATGTGAATGATGATTGTTGGAAATGTCATGCCGCGTCATTGCATTTTGTCTACTGCTCGGATATATATATGTGTGTGTGTGTGTGTGTGTGTGTGTGTGTGTGTGTGTGTGTGTGTGTGTGTGTGTGTGTGTGCTACACCCCTACTTCCTTACTTATCCCTTAATTTAAATGACTTTTGGGGTACCAAGGAAGATCGAGCTACCACTTTTCTCCATCCCTCTCTATTTGTAGCCTTTCGAAGGGCTTCACCCAATTTTAGACCTGTCCATTCTGTTATGTTGTCTTCCTGTCTTCCCAACTTTTTTTCTGTCTGCCTTTCCTTCTCCCTCTTTGGTCAGTGCCGTGTAAGATCATCTTTGCAAATCCTGCTGATCTTGTTTTGTGCCCATACCAATGTGAGGCAGCGTGGTGGAATCAGGCTCTCGTCAAAATAATCAAAGTGAAGAAACTTGCCTTTTTCCACAGGTTTATGTATTTTAAATTATTTTTTTTTTGGCTCAACACCTTTCATGCCCATTTTTGTGTGAATTTTTCTGGAAAAACGTTGATTAAAGGCACACACAAAAATTCAGTTACCACGGACTCTTAAGATGAGGAATTAACTAATCTTTGGCGGTCATTTTCTCATTAATTTTACCTCTGAAAACAGGTGACCCCCACCTCCTTCATTCACAAATATCTCGACTTGTATTCAAGATAAATGGATATTTTTTTCATCCAAATAAAGACAAGTGAACAAGCTTTAAGATGATACCAATAACTGTACATGCCCAAAAATTGACGAGAGCCTGATTCCACCACGCTGCCTCACATATCAGTTTGTGTTTTTTCACTGTGGGGAGAAGATCTTCATAGGGCCAAACGTCATGCATGATTCTGCCCCTCACTTCCTCATTTATAACCTGATCTCTTAAGAAGATGCTCAAAAGTCATACAAAACATCTCACTTCTGCAACGTGTGTATCTTTCTCTCTAACTCTGCTGTAAGGGCCCATGTCTCGCACGCGCTGCATCCTCAAACAGCTAATATCCCTATGTTTTTTTGTGTTTGTTTTGTTGTTTGTTTCAGGCCAGGGATGCTTTGTCCAATTACGGCGGACGTCCGAACAACATCACCTTCCAGCCCCAGTAAGTTGACAGTCGAGAACGTTTTTGATTTTATCTTATGCTGTATTGGGACGGCTCCATGTGGGTCAATTTAAAAGAGCAGCATAACTTTTGGTTTTTCGTCAGGACTCAGAGTTGAGAGGGAGTATAAATTTGTCGCTTTTTTTAAGGACAAGCGCGCTAACCCAGATTTCAGGGGTTTCCAGAAATCTTGACCTACACCATAAGTGGGCAATGCCTTACCTATAGGAGAAGTTTGGTTTCATTGGTGTGTATATTTGTTTGGTTATAGAGAAAACTCCCCTTGTCTTTTAAAGAAACTGAACAAGGAACAAAAACTTTACCTTCGATTTTCCAAAAACAGCATTTTTGGGGATAGCCCCCTTGTGCTTAAAAGCGACCAATTGGATGTGAGCCGGGGACTTCTATTAGATGGCCAAAATCGGAACAGATTTTTGTTTGTGACACTCCGACAATTTCCTAGTTTTTCCTGACAGAAAAGACTCTCATTGAAAGTGTAGATGTATTTATGTTTTGTTTTTAGTTTTTGATGTGTTGCTGCTTTTTTGGGGTTTAGTTTTTAAATTTCAGGGTTTTTTTGTTTTGTTTGGTATGAATTTTATTTGTTGTTTGAATAGGAAATTTCAAGTCTCCTCAGCTCTCTATGTCAGTAACCACTAGCACTGTGTTCTCTCTCTCTCTCTCTCTCTCTCTCTCTCTCTCTCTCTCTCAACTCCGCCCCTCCCCCCCTCCCCAAGTTCTACAGGCCATTCCACCGTACAATGAAAGAATAACTGGCACCTGCATAGCAACCGTGTCCTAGTGGGTAGTTATGTTATTCTGGCTTCCTGAAACCTCTACATTATTTCATAGTTCTGTCAGAGGACACAGCAGTTGCACAACAATAGCCTATACTATCATGTTTGAGTTCAGTCCCAACCGAGGCCATGTTCTGAAAATAGCAACCCCATTTTATGAGAAGGGTCATAATTTTCCTTGTTTGTTTTAGTAGAGGCTTTTTGGCGCTCGCAACTGCATAAGGTCATGTGACCGCCAAGAGATGGATGTCCACAGAGAAGTCCTTACAGGGAAACTGGCTTACTCTGTTCATCTCTATAGCTTCAACAGCACATAGTCTGCTTCGACTGTCAAGGCACCCCGGAAATAACGGGTCACAAGAGTGTGACAAACATACAAAAGAAGTAGAGGGAAATGATGATAGTAAGGATTAGGAAAGAAGAGCAGCAGTTCTCTGTTACAGTTCAGGCAGTTATGAGCATGGCATTGATAAATCAGCCTATTTACAAATGCAATTTTACTGTGCAAAAGAACATGGTTTATGTCCCCCTCCCCTTTGGGAATGGTCCAAAGACACTTCTGTCAGTTACACAGCCACCGGGGGGGTTCATAACTCCCCACGAAAGTAGACATTTTTCTGCCTTAGGATTACAAAGTTCTATCTGACAGTTTTAGCTATTTTTAGTTATTAACGCCCAATGGTCAGAAACCAAACACACTCTCTCTCTCTCTCTTATTTGGAGTGGTTATTAAGATGTTCAAAGAATTGCATTCGACAAAAGCTTGACCACGTTATGAAACTCCAAATTTGAAACTTAAAATTTCTCAAAACTAGGTACTGAGCAGAAACAACTTTGTAATTCAAGGGTAGGGTTTGGTCAAACTTGTCCACAAAGGTGAAAGGGCTTGATAAACATAATTTATCGAACAGTCGAAGAGAAAAAAGAGTTAATCAAAGTTCTACAGTTACACACACGAAAAAGAACAATACATTTTTACATCTTTAATTAGGGCGAGATTAGTAAATTCAAGAATACGTTTTTACGTTTCCTCCCATACCTGCCCCATCACTCAAATCTTGCTCCTGGTAGTGAAGGGGTTAATATGAAGGAAGTTTTATATTCATGTCACTGATACCTCTACTGCCGAAACTCTGTTACAAAACTCTATATTTTTATTATCTTTTTCATTATTCCGGGGGATTTTCAAGTCAGTAATAATAAACTTAATGATAATGATACTACATTCCCTTTTTGGGGTTTATAAGCAACGTTACAACGGTCTTCTTTACGGTGGATGGAGCGGATAGGTCTATCTAGATAACTTCATTGTGTGTGTGTGAGAGAGAGAGAGAGAG